AGATGCCATGATCATGGTCAGCGTACGGGCTGCCCGCGGTGCCAGCTAGGTATCTGTTCCGAAGCTGTTGAGCCTAAGGCAAGAGGATGAAAGTCAGCAATATTCTTGATCACATCTCACATGATGATGAGTATGATTATGATGATGTTGATGAGTGTTGATTGTTGAGCGAACGGGAGAAAAGGGGAAAGAAGAAAATTCAACAGCCAACGCACCTCGAAACTGTCTTGGATACCGTCTGGAATGACGGCCAAAGACCAGTCCTCACTCGCCATGGCGCCCGGTTGCTGGGTGGATCTGAAGGTGAAAGAATTCTTGTGATTGTTGCGTGCGAACAGCTTCCTCTGGCGTCGGGTGTTGGAGCGTTGCTGTGCCTTGACTTTCATCTCCTGCTCAAAGGCAAAGATGTCCGAGCTATGGAAGCCCCAAGGGGCAGCGACCTTAAACATCTTGAACGAAAGAGGCTGCCCGTCAGACAGACAGACCGTCGGGCTGGGCGAGGAAGCGAAGCTGAAAGGAAGCCGAATGTCTCACCGCTTCTTCTGCTGAAAGTTCTATCAGTGTCTTCTGTGCGAGTTCAGGTTTCCGACTCGCATGCAACGATGTCGTCTTCCGGCTGTGCGTTGAGGAAGAATAAGGTTGTGGGCGATTGATTTCGGCGATCAGTGAAGAATTTTAGAGCGGCCGACGCGAGATGCAAGTGTAAGATCCCGTTGGGTGTTTCCACGGATGTCTACAAGAGCAGGATGTGGTGTTCGCTCCGACGGGAGAAGAGCGGTATAGGGGATGATCCGCGGATACCAGCGGGAGCGGTGGCGAGATGAACCAGTTCTCTCTCGTGGCTGGCCGTCAGGGATGAAGACGTTTTGGCTCTTTGATGCCGATGGCCAACGAGTAGACGGGTGGAACTGTCCAGTCACTCGTGGCAGATATCAATAGGAGGAGAAGGAGGAGAAGGCTCGAGCACAGGAGTCAGGAAATAAGGATGAAGGCTTGTGAAGCAATAAACATTAATGACCACGAGGCGAGGTATATTCGGTGAACAGGAATCAGCCAATGTGACGAAGACTGACTGTTGGGATAAGAATGATGAAAGAAGAGTGATTGACTATAGACACCGGCTCAGACCATCGTCGGTTTGACGGGAGGAAGGCCTCTTCAAGTACAAAGTCGAATTTCGGCTGTCCTTCCCGCAGACCCAGGGTTTGGTTTCATTCGAGAGATGTTACGGGATATTGAAAGCGCTTTTCGACTACTGATGATCCCGTTCCCTCTCGAGGATCTCACCCCAGAAGAGCCTCATACATGAGGTCTCCTTTACCTTTTGGGTATCGTGCGTATCCGAAGCCGCTTTATTTGTCCAGGCCGGCTTCGAGCCGTCCCCGTCAACACTGATGATCATACTGCCACGGGCATCCCATCTAGGTATGGAACGTCAAGAACACCCTCGATATTCTACTAAGCCCCGTTCAAATCTGTCAGAATTCAGCCTCTTTCGAAGTGTCCCCCACCAAACTGCAGGGTATCATCGTACTTCTCGGGCGGTGCCTACGGCCCGGGTACATCTTCGGCGCGAAGATGGCAGGATGGGTTGTATTTGTGTGTGGGCTCAGGGATCAGGACAGCCCGTGTGCTCATCTGCAGACGGGTGGCTTGGATTGCACCCATTGGGGCTCGATCGCGCATCACCATGTTGCGAAGTCCCACTTTCATCGTCAGCGATTTGGAACCGCCTTTGCTACCGGGTACCGACTTGTGCATCAACAGTTATACCCTGGCTGGCATCCCAGTAGGATCGCCCCCGTGGAAAACGCCACGAGCCTAGGTCTTTCCCACGGCCGGGGGTAGGTATCATGTCGGGGAGTGTTTACCTGGACAAGGGTGGTCACGGGATTTCAAATCGAGAGGAAGATCGCGGATTTACTGCCGTTCAGGGTGGCGTTTTGGTCGGCTGTAGGCGTTTGACTATTGCAACGGCCTGTCGCTGTTGTATGTGGTTGGCAGACCGGTACCCTTGCTTCTCGATGCCGGCGTACTAATCCCACCTCCTTGGGCCCTGGCTCGGGAGGTAACCGGACTCATGCAGAAAGACTCTTCGCCTGTCCCTCCTCAACGAGGTGAGCTTCGACAGATGGACGACCACGTCAAGGTCTTGGGCTGGATCTGGTTCCATCTGCGCTACACAGAGAATTATAGCGCAGGTATATTCAGGGTATGAGTCTTTCTAAGGTACTGGGGTATGCGGCTGTAAGGCCTGGATGGTGCATGCCGTGATCTAGATCCTCGGCTGTGGAGAGTGGGGGTTGCGAAAGAACACCTCGTACCCTAGCTTGCCACGTCATTTTGGATGCTTTCCCTACTAGACTCTTGCGAGATGAAAGCGGATGGAGACCAGAAAGCGAGGAGAAACACGGTTAACAATGGGGGCAACATCATGAGATGAGAGAAGGGTGGCACAGCAAGATGTCCACGTGGGAGATAACGAAAGCGGCATTGCCAACTCGACTCTTCTCGGACTCAGAGACCTCGTGAATATCGGCCCACGACCCTCTCTTCCCCGGTGCCATGACAGGGCTGATATGGCAGTCAGCGGTTCCTTTCTCAGCATGCTGCATACCGGCAATATGGTACTGGCCCCGGACCACGTCTGGTCATCCAGCCATCCCCACTCAGCTTGGACCAACTCTGTCTAGAAGGAAGCGTGCAGGAGAGGCTCGCAGGACTCAGGATGCGTGGGGCTTCAAGTGCTGGATAGATCTGTCGTTGAGTGGTGTCCATGCATGTCATCCTGGATTCATGCAGGTGTGTAGGTAAGCAAAACACCCTCTATCGAAACGGCCGAAGCGTACGTTAAAACGGGAATAGACCCCATTTCTAAATGAGGGGTAAGTGACAACTTACTAAATCAGGATGGAATTTCGACTCCTGGAATCAAATTGAGATGACTCTCATTTTGCGGTTTGATATGTTGAGTCGGGAGCTAAACCAAATAACATCAATGATGTTGACCCTGCGTAAGTATTGAGAAAACAGGATCCGTTATCATTGCGCCAGTGTTGCCGGGTGAAAACTGGGCAACAGTCTGCTTGTGTCTATATGCAGAAGAAAATATCTTGGTTCTTGCTGAAGAGATTCAAAATGATTGCACTGAAGGTCATCGGTGAGTAGACGGGAACCCCTCCTTCTGTCTTCATGGAGGTGTTCATGTACAGCTAGCTCACCGGTCGTGTGTCTACGCTCTGCAGAATATATGAGCTGTCAAGCATGCGGGTTCTTGAACTCGCACGTATGCTTGCATAGGTAGTCTACACAGCCTGCATATACATGCATGGCCAGCATCTCATGAAATGGAGAAGAAGAAGAAATGACGACTTGCATGCCTTACGGACGCACCGTTGGTCCCCTGTTCTCGCACGTTTCCTCAAACTTTGAATTTCTGCCCGTCTTCAAACGCTATTCTCTCTCATGGGCCATCAAACCGGACTGTCTATCCGGCTGTCAGTAGTGACATTCTGCAGAACATGCTTTGATGGCGTACGATGCAGTCTGCATACATTGCGTGACTGGCAAGGGAGACGATTGACATGGGTATTGGACATGTTGCTGCGGGACGTCCCAGCCCAGGCGCACTAGTCTCAACTGAGGAAGACGATGAAAAAGGGGGACACCTGGAGCCAAGATCTGCGTGACACTTGTTCGCACCATACTCGCAGGAACGGCTGGTCTTCTCAACCTGGTAAGAGATAGCCTGCCCAGAGAGAAACCTCCGCCGCATGGGTTTTGAGACCTGTCATAAGTCGGGGCCCGTTGGGGCGACGTCGTACTCACGGGTCGACGCAGAAAATCCCTGGGATCATGTCTCAAAATTTCAATGACCCAGGGGACGTCTATAGATATGCCTATAGGGAAGATTAGACACTGATGGTTGGCGGGAAGCTGCCGTTCCAGTGAGCTGGGCGAGAGACGCAATCCTCCTATAGTAGAATTTACTAATTAATGTGCAGAAGATTTCGTCAACTCAGATGGTCCCGATCCAAATCGAGATTAGATCATTGCCGTCTCCAACGCAGATGAGGGAAACCGACTGGAATTGTGGACTCTTCGGGATCATGCAGAGGGGGGAAAGGGCCGCGTCTGCCGGTGTCGGATGACTTGAGCCTGTCTCCCCTAGCGAGATGCGCCTACCGAGCTGGAACAACTCCTACGGCAAGGGAAACCAAACAGGATGTTGTCAAATAGGTATTGGTTGAAGTTGATAAAAAAGCAAAACTTCGAATCAGTAGCTGTGGATCATCGTTCAACGTCGAACGCCCAACGCCGCAAACGTCTGGGCGGAGCCGCTTCCTGTTTTCCCACGCTTTTTTCTTCTAGTAATCTTCGGATCGATCCGAAAGAAAGGGTATATGGTGTGTTTTTGATCGACTGATGGCGTTGCATCACTGGTTTGAAATTTCCACGCTTCGCGTTGCTAATCTAAATTTGGTGTTTATGAAAAGATCTAGGTTCCGTGATGTCTACTTTTGTGACTGGCTCTCTTTAGAGAGTATTGCTCCTCGAAACGACTCAGTCCAAGAACAAACTTGCAGAATACTTGGATCCGGTGGCAATTGAGCTTTCCACCGTTGCCGGTGGTGACAGATACCCCTATTCAGCCCGGTCGAGGCCCGTTTGGTAGGTACGCAATGGAGGCTACAAACACCACCCTGACGAGCCGTCGAACACAGCTTTCACAGTGGAAATATTTCTGTCACAAAGCAGGTGACAGACTTCTGGACGCTTTGAGACTTTTCATCTCCTCTTCTTCAATTTCTCTCACATACAAGGAAACTCACTCGAAGAAAAGTTGAGGCTGTTTGTGAAATCGCCGTGTGTCTTGTGTTGTGGACTGAACATTCAAAGTTGCTATTTACACCGCAATTCCAAGTCATAATTATCTACAATGGACAAAGGTTATTAAAACCTTCCAGATCTCTTCACTGTACATGTACAGCTTGGTTTTCTTAAACCATCGCAGGGACATTGATCTCCTTGATAGTCCAAACCTTTCCATTCTGGCTGCTCGAGAGACCAGAATATGTGGCCTTCTGAGCGGTGGCAACTGTCTTCCCAAAACCATTATCGGGGCCTGCAAGAGTGATGACGGTATCTATATACTTTTGTGACGCAATAGTAGGACTGCAGTTGGCGTTGCATTCGGTTCCAGTCCCGTAGCCTCTCATAAACGGGCCAGACTTGTGCTCAAACGAGCTGAGCTTTGCACCGGTGTCGGCATCGGTGACGGTCTGGCGCCAGGTATCGTTATCCGAGAGGAGTTCATATTCGATCTTGACTTTCTGGGTGCCCGATACGGCAGAAGCGTCGCCGCTGAGTTGCCCAAAGGATCCGAAAAGTGAGGCCCGGACGCACCACTGTCCCTTCTTGGCGCCACACCAAGAGTTGTCCGGCCAAGATTCTAGGGTCGTTTGAACGAGATCACCGGTGCCATTCGACATACCTGGCCACAGAGCCAGCACTCCGTTTTGTGTGGGAGGTGCGGTGCCAGGGATAATTGTTGTCGCGGCCTTGATGATGGTTGAGGTTGTTGGGCCAAGGGATACGGAGCCGCCCCAAGTATCGACTGCGGCCGAAGTGCCAATGATTGCCGCGATTATCGCTGCCTTGAAAGTTCCAGAGACCATCATGGGTATCTTGGGTTTGAGCTTCGACGACATCTGATAATGATGGGCTTGATCGATAGAGGTGCCACTTTGACCATGTCTCAGAAAACATTGCAGGTATTTATGTCTTTTTGCAAACTGGAGCGAATGAGCGAGATAACATCCTCGCACTTAATCATATTCCAATTAATCAACTCCATCGTGAATGCGGTAGTGTTCGCCTGCCCCGTGAAGTGCTCTGTATCGTGGATTCATGTAGGAGACAATTCTCCACGACGGAGATATTTGCTTGATGCAGTTCGACATTGGATTCGACTTGCTCAACCTTTTCGTGTCCACCAATGAGAATAGTCCAATTATCCAGGTTAACCCTACCAAAGGTCCTTTCCAGTGTCACAACTGGCTGCATTTCTACCAAAGCTTGCCGACTTGATCTTAGTGTCATCTGAAGTTCATTAAGCCAGATCCCTTTTGGGGAAGCCCCTGCCTCTTGGGACTAAAGACCAGTCGCCCCAGTATAAGCGGAACCAATCGTCCATACCCAACTCAGTGCATGGGTATATTATCGCCCTTGGGATCACGAGGCTTCTACTCGGGGAAAGACTAAACAAGCAACTCAAGTGCCGGCTTAGCCGCCTCTTCACCCGACGAAGAATCGCAGTAACACTAGCCCATGAAAAGTTGGGTGAAACGACAAAACATGGCGGGGGACCCGATGGCCATTGCATCTTTTCACTTGAGTCAAGCCTCGGAAAATGTAAATGAGGTGATCCTAGTCGCGAAAGACGACGCCTCGGTTTCAACTTCGGCTATTTCGGTCTCGTTCTCCGTGGGAGCTTCTTGAATCCTGCTTGGTCTCGATGCGACCTAATGCATGCCTGACTGCCGGCGGACCGTGGAATACAGCGGCACTTGCATGTCTCAGCAATTTGAGAAGATCGTGAGCTAAACAAACCCTATCCGAGTCTGATGCGAGGAACCATTAGTTTTGCTGTGAAATAAGTGTAATTGTAAGTACTTACCCAGTGAAAGAACTGGATAATACATGCGCATGCGCCGCCTGGGCCGCCATCTTTCTTGATCACTTTAGAAGCTGTCGCAGAGACAGGCACAAATATGTTTGAGGTCCATTTGTCAAATTGCTACGGTAGTTCAGGCTTCTTAGAAGCGAGAATAGTACCAGATTCAAATTTCACGTAAGATCAAGGTCGCGGATCACAAAGCACCTTACCAGAAGACTCTTTGCTACGTACCTTGCCAAACCCCACAAGTCTCGGCACGGCTATCAGTGAAATACCTGTAATCATCGCGGATGAGTGTTAGGAGTAGCTGCGAAAAGCCCGCGATTACCAATATCTCTACCTTGAGGTTTCTGCAACTACCGAGTCGCTCGTGATGACACTTATGAAGTCAATCAGTCGACAAAAATCAGGACAAAGTCTCGTCTGAATGGAAGATTTTGAGACACGTCTGAATCAATGCCGCTCATGTTGCCGTACAACCCCTCAATTTTGAAGCGCGACTTCGCATTTCTGTCTGTAGCATGTTCCATGACACACGGCAGATGGAGCAGCTCTCATGAGGCCGATGCAAATTTTTAGTCAGGATAGGCTGACCAAAGTATCGGCAATATTCCTGGACGATCTCACTTGAAGAGTCGTGCAATCAAATATCACGTTGTTTCCAAATCCCTGTGTCGTGGTCCATCCCACGATCGAGCAAGGCATCACGTTAGAGTGGATGCATCTACTAATGTCTGCGCTTGCGATGAAGCTTACTTGCACGTGAGCGATAGTACACAGAAACTAGGCACCGTTACTAATACCATGCTGATTGTCTTGGTGCCGAACGATCATTATTGCCGGAAAGTACTCCGTAAAACCTCAAGCGCCAACGCGTGGGGCCCCAGAATAATGCGACCCAACCAAACCTTTGGAACGGTCCGTCATGATTATCAATCTGGGGTCGTAAGGCTGTCCTTGTTGCCTATTGCTAAATCTTTTTGATCACCATACTCTAGACTGCCCCCGTTCTCTGTCCGATTACTGCGGAAGGGGGAGCAGAGTTTCTAACTGGCTGTTCGTACAATGTGGTGTGACGATGCCAAAACGCTATGTTTCTAGAGTTCAGAAGAAGGTTTAGATTTGTTTAGTGAAACAAAAACGTTAAAAAAAGGCCCGCGGCGCGGACTGGCCAGCGGAACTCCAGCAAGCGGGCATCGAAACGCTCCTTAAAGTGTAAATCTTGTTGAAAGTCCTAAAGGTCTTGTTTCTCTTGTTCCTGTTGGCTGCAACTTCCACAAATTGCATCGAACGAGCGACAGGGTTCCAACCAACTTGGTTCCCGCAACCCGGGAATGAAGCTGTCTTGCCCCGAAGGATCAGCCCCAGCATTGCACAGAGCGTATGGATGGTGCAGCTCTTTCAACTTATGTGCCGCACTCCCACGACTCTTCCGATTATGGTGCCGAAGTCCCGACTTGCGAGCACCGATAGCAAAGAAATCCTAAGATAAGCTACCGTCGCAAAAGCATAAGCGGCATAGTTCAGACATTGGTGACGACTTAATGGGAAACGGTGATCTTGGCATTCTGTCAACGGTACACCCGATCGAAGCCACGCCCACCTGCTGGTCCTGGTTCGTCGCATCACGATGATTCTACATGGTCCTAGTGGGCGTTTAGATAAGATGGCGGTGGAACCTTTGCTTGTTTGACGTTCCATTGCATCTCCAAAGTCCCAAAACCCCTGGAGTCCATGATAAAAATGTTCAGCTAGACATCCACTCTCGCCAACCAATATCGGCCATCACCAATTCTCGTCAATCGGCCCCCATCTCAGTCGTCAGCAAATTCGATAGTACAGCTCCTTGCTGACATACTCCACACGTCAACTCCGCAATGCACAGGGTACGATGACCCTTGTGAGCCACTCCCAGCAGCAGCAATTGCCACTATCCGAACTGCTTTCTCCATACTCCTACCCACAGGCTGAACCGACATCCAGGCATGTGGTTCCTAGGGGATGTGATCCAGGTCTGCAGCCGTTTGACGTTTACCTGCATCAATCGAGCTGTTCTGTGAGTGCGGAGCTGCCGCCGTACCCTGTTGCCGTGGTAGGATCCCTCGATCCATGTACTTCGCAGGGACTGATCCGTTCCAGCCAATACCGCACGAAATTTCAACAACATTGCTTGCAGTTGTACCGTCGACAATCGATGGTACAACTTCTTCCTGGGGCTCTGTTCCTACGCATGACGAACCGGCTCAAGGTGATTGGTCTTTTCTGCTCCAATACCCACACAGAGACCGATCAGGACCTTTTTCCGTGATGGCGCATAGTTCTCGGTGCAGCCAACAGAGGTTGGGCAGAACCCAGCTTTGCCTATTTAGCCCGACGAAATCAAATCGGGAAATGCCTCATACTATACCTTGCTGTCTGCAGAGTGTACACAAGAGTGGAAACGGTAATGCCGTGCCCCCATTCTGGAGAAGAGATACGACGTTGTGACTGATACATAAACAGCTGTATTGCCGGTCGTTGGGAAGTTCGGCTTCAAGCGATCAAGCTCAAAGTCAGAATCAACTCCAGAGGTTGTCTTCATCATGACGTGGTTCGCTGCACTCTCGGTGTCCGGCGCCCTAGACGATCTTGTCGTCAAGGCGGTTTATCTAGGGCTCTTCTACCTTATCGTCAAGTACACATACCGGATGTTTTTGTCTCCTATCGCTAGTTTTCCCGGGCCGAGAATTGCTGGTATCACCAAACTTTACGAAGCTTATCATGTTCTGCTGAAGAACGACTGGCTGGAGAATCTTGTCTCGCTTCACGAGAAATATGGTAATTTGTGCACCTGTTGCTCGCTTTGTGGACTTAACATTAACTCGAATCGTCATTACAGGACCGGTTGTTAGAATCGGGCCTAACGAGCTTCACTTTGTCGACAACAAGTTCAACCTCGACCACCACCGGCGGCCCGACCTCTTCAAGTGCAACAATTACTATGGTCTTCTCAACAAACTCCTTGGCGGATTGGCCAGCCCTACGAAGCATGCGCAGAGGGCAGCAGTCATGCGGCCAATATTCTCTGGCCAGACTTTGGCCGAATACTCCAAGACGTTGGATAAGCACATCGAGTCACTTCACTCCCGCCTTGCTGATGCTGCTTCGGATAAGGGAGTTATTAACTTGACGCATTACCTTTGGGCTTACACCAACGATGTCATGATCTCGTATCTCACCGAGGAAAACTATGGATTTCAGAAGGTCTACGATTTGCAAGCCACTCATGATGCGACACGAGCCTTCAGCGCCATCGACCTCGCCACCGTACTGAGGTGTATGCCACCGGTCAAGACTATGTTTGATTACGTTCCAGCTCTTCGATCATTTTCACCTTTGGGGTGGCTTGATAACGTAAGCTCATTGAATCGACTATCCCCGAATACTACATCAAATTCGCTGACCTCTTTGTGATTAGTTGATTAGTTCTCACGTCAGACCTATGGTTAAGTCTTGGGACGACGAGAATAGTCATCAAAGTGTGTTGGCTCGAATCTTCAACGAGATAGGGAACGAGACACAGACTGTGCACGAGTCATCACAAGCTATTTTTATTGGAAACGAGTCTCTTCTCAGCAACTTGACCTTTGTCCTTCATCATCTTATCCAAAACCCGGAATGCATCAAGAAAATTCGATCCGAACTGGATACTTTGGATATTGGCACATATGGGCACCGAATTTGGAGGGATCCAAAGACCGCTCAACTCAGGTATCTGGTAAGTGGCTTGTTGATGTTGACCTACACTAGATAGAACTTGTCGCTGACGCCCCCAGGATGCTGTATGCAGAGAGTCGTCCCGCTTGAGCTCACCCAGTTGGCATCGACAACCCCGACAGAGTGACACTCCGGTGGAATACCAAGGAGCCATAATACCCCCAATGGTAAGAGGGAGGATTTTAGTCACTTTCACTCTGACTGTATCTGACACGTTGTAGACGAGTATGAGCTTTACCTTACATTTGCTCGAGCGCGATGCCACCCTCTTCCCAG